GAGTATCAGCCAAAACCGTTGCTCTCAATCTTGTATAAATTCCGGCAGGGAAAGATAGCGATATGCGGTGATATACGAGAAATGTATCACAGAATTAACATTAGAAAGGAGGATCAAAACACTCAACGGTTTTTATGGCGTGAAGGCAATCAGATAAAACCGCCTGATACATATATTATGACGGCCATGATATTCGGAGCTATATGTTCCCCATGCTCAGCGCAATACGTTAAGAATATTAACACGGAAATGTATCGCAGTGAGTATCCAAGAGCTGTTGAAGCTATAATTAATCGCCATTATGTCGATGACTACGTTGACAGTTTTGATACTGCAGAAGAAGGCTCGCAAATTACAATGAATGTTATCAACATACATGCTGCGGCTGGTTTTGAGTTGCGTGGTTTTGTATCGAACTCTGGGAAAATGCTACAATCAATTTGCGGATCATCCAAGACTTTGAATAAGCTAGGATACCAAAACATGTGTCGTGGTGAAAGCGAAACTGGGAAGATTCTTGGAATGTATTGGGACCTCAGGGAGGATACGTTATTTTTCAACTTACTTTTCTCCAGAGTACCGAAAGCTATTTTAAATGGAAGTCGACGTCCTACGAAAAGAGAAATGTTAAGCATGATAATGTCGGTTTTCGATCCATACGGGTTTTTGTCGAATGTGTTGGTGTTGCCGAAGATTTTTATGCAGAGGTTATGGAAATTAAGTGTTGGTTGGAATGACACTATTCCTGATGAAATTTATGACAAATGGCAGGAGTGGTACGAAAGTCTCGAGAATGTGAAAGTATTGAAGATACCCCGGTGTTATCATCCAGAGTTTACTAATCCAAAGGCAGACGTACAGCTACAAATATTCACAGACGCAAGTGAGCTAGCGTTTGCGGCAGTCGCGTACTGGCGTGTGTGCTACAAAGGAGAGATTCATGTCGTTTTTATTGCGGGAAAATCACGGTGCAGTCCACTAAGCGTCATTTCGATCCCAAGATTGGGCTTCAGGGAGCCGTGTTGGGTGTGCGTTTGAAGGATTCGATCATAAATAACCATGACGTG